TAGTGAGCGTGTAAAAAAAGACATCAATTTTCATATGTTTTTTTTAACGCGCTCACTAATCTAGTGAGGACGTAATATTATGATGTAACTCACACTCAGCCCTAAGAACTCGCATTTTTTTTATTTAAGGTTTTTAATTTAAAATTTTCTAATAACGATTTTAGTTGAATTTCGTAAGCGAGTATTCAATTAAATAATGCTTCTCCAATAGTTCACAGACTTTTATTTATTTATTTATTTATTTTTTGGGAAACATACAGTTACAATATAATTTAACTTAGGTGCAGTAAAACAACACATAAACCAATTAAGTTTCCACAGTAAAATATACACATAAAGTTGGGCAAACCATTATGAATATTTTGTTGTGAAAAATATAAATAAGGTTATCTTTAAAGTATTGGTTTTTGTGTCGTTTATAATATTTTCAGTGACGAATAACTACAAAAAATATCCTTTTTGTGCAACTCTTCCATTAAAAACAGACTACATTTTTCGGATAATATACTACAGTCTTTGGCTTAATTTGATATGTACAGTCGTCTGTCTAATTAACTATACGCTGATATTGATTGATTGAATTGGGCTAGTATTTTTAAATCCAAAAAAAAGGCTTCTTACATTAAAACTGTACATTACCTACGTATTGAGCTTGATACTGTACAATTTAAATACAAGCACCTAATTTTATTAAACACGATATAAAAAAGCATCACCTATTCTTTTACCACCCTGATGCACTGCTAAGTCTTCGAAGATTAACATTTCTAGGACTTCTTATCCTTATTTCATTTAACATACGACTCAAAATCCCTTGGCACTACTTACCTGCACATCAACGTTCTAAATTAAACCTTAATAGCATACGAATAGAGTCCTAAAAGCCTTGACTATAAAGTAGGAAGAAGGAACGGTAATTTAGGTCACACTTTGAAATCGGAACCTGTCAATGAGCAGTGATACTAGCGCCAATAAGTAGGCGACGGCGGAAACTGGATCTAAGTACTTTGGGACAGTGTTCGTTCCTACTGATTGTGTCTATTTGTTAAGATTTCGCGCCAAAATAGCAAAATTTGTACATTCTAGTTAATGTAGAGTCTGTCCTTTCAAATCCAAATATTTTATTCAGTACATAGGCCCTTTCCAGGGCACTTATACACGTCCCAAATATAGCTTGCCCTACCACCACTTCAGGACAACATATGGGCTGGTGCTGAGAGGAAGTGGCGGAAGAAACTCGGTCACCTTTGTCAGCCTCTTTTTCAATAAAGTACAGTAATTTATAGTTTACATGACACGCAATTTGCACAGCGTGCTATGGAGAGGGCTATGCTTGGTGTTTCTTTGCGAGATCAAATCAGAAATGAGGAGATCGGTAAACGAACCAAAGTCGCTGACATAGCCCGACGTATTAGCAAGCTGAAGTGGCAATGGGCAGGGCACATAGTACGCAGAACTGACGGCCATCTACAAGGTGGACCGACGACATCGTAAAGGTAGCAGGGAAGCGCTGGACGCAGGCCGCTACCAATCGATCAACATGGAAAGCATTGGGGGAGGCCTATGTTCAGATGTCCTGTGGCTGAAATGATGATGATGATGATGACACGCAATAAGTGCGAGCTAGGCAGGTAAAGTCCACGCACTCTTGTCATTTAAATAATCGTTTACTTTAAAGTAGGTATCCTTTTTTCTTAAGGACTTTCTTAACATGTACTTTGAATTTATGAATAGGTAGTTCTATAAGAGATTGTGGTATTTTATTAAACTTTTTAACACTATTCCCCAAGAATGACCTACCTACTTTCTAAATGTAACTTCTGAGATATGGAAAGGCAAGTTTATTTTTATTTCTCGTATCGTATCGTATTTATTTACTCTATTTGATAATGATTTTGACTACAAATAAAATTCTTATAATAGAAGACTAGCCCAAGCATAATGTCTAATACTCTCTTGACCGATATAAAACTCATTGTAAGCCCACTTTTCATCGCATAACGACACTCGACGTCATCTCGCTCTATCCTACGTCAAAAGAGGCGGATGAAAGGGACGGAGCACTGAAAAGCGCGCGATTTTCTCGGATTAGCCCGCGATATTATCTGTGGACCGTCCAATTCTGAATTTTATTTTTAAAAAATAATGGCGAATTGCTATTTTGTGCCAGGATGTAAAGCAATTTTTTAGACTGTAATATTTTAAAGAGGTTGCATTTTTGATGAGTTTCGAGTTTAATTACTTAGCTTGAAGTAGATGAAGGCTAACGTACTATAATAATATTTACAAGTAAGTTTGTACATTTAAAGGATCATCTCAGGGTTCTACTAGATAGCTAATACGATTACTTTATTCTATGTAGTTTAAATAATATACAACTTTGCTTTGTATTATGAAAATGTTTTTATCCAATGTCGCAGTCAAACAAAATCGCAACTAATTAGTAGAAAACAATGTTTCTGTGCCCAAACCGGGTTTATGTTTGATACTATAGTACCTACTTAAGTACCTACAACATGGAATGCAATAAAGATATTGACTGTTATAATTCATGTGATAATACGAAGCCAAAGTGTCATACATCTAAAATAGCTTTCTATAAATCAAACAAAAGTTGTAACCAAAACTTATAAATAATATTTAGTAGTTAAAGTAGGTACATTCAATAAAGCTTTTACTTTACGTAGTTAAATGAACAGTTACTATCTATTATTAATCCTTATCACAAATGGCCTTGAAATTCATTATTTATGTCTACGTCAGCCCTCCCTGATTGATGCTTACCGAAGAAGCGAAATGTTCAGCAAAATGGCTACCGAAGCGTCTTTAAAATCAGCAAATTCGCCTTTGAAACAAAATTTGTTTCATGAATATTCAGGCTATGTAAATGTTCGGTTAAAGGTGAATTAATACGATTTGAATTCGTAATAAATTCGCTGTTCACAGAAGATTTACTGAGGAATATCTAGTTGACGTGCTACAATTTAGTATTTAGTAATGATGAATGTATTTTTTATTCGCGGTTTGCTCAGAACAAGGAAATCAGGTGTCAAGTTTTAATGTTTTCTAATAACGGATTAATATCCTCTAGAGTTACAGCAAAGATATATGTCACTTTACCGAAACTTCCTGCGGAATTCTTGGGACCATTTTGAAGGGATGCTGTAGGTATTTTTTTGTTTGCCTACACTGAAGAATAGTAAAAAATCCACCATAATTTCACATTAATGTATTTAATCATGGCTAAATCAAATTGAAATAACCCCATAGTTCCAGCTGGTGGAGGTAAGATAGACAGTTCCACTGTAGTTGAGGATTCCGGGTGAAGTTTTCTCTCGTAAAAAAAAGCAACTGAAGACTGACAGTAACTATAGTATTAGTTATCTGTGCTGACAGTGACAATGCGCCATCTGGCGGGATTTAGCAATGGATCCCCATTGTTACACAGAATAGGGACATCCGCACTACACGGACCTCATTTTAAAAGCGTCGACGCAGAACAAACACTTAGCGCCATCTATCGGGATCAGACACTTGGTCACCCTTTGTGTGAATGCGTTGGAGAGCCCTTTTGTGGGAGGAAGTACTCGAATATTGTCAAGTTTGTAAAAAATAATCCTTAGTACCAATAATCTTTAGTCACGTGGTTTTAGGGAAAAAGTCTTTTTTAATTAGGTAATACCTATTTAGTATTCGTCATTAATACCTCGTAGGGATTATCCTAACGGATTATCAAATTATCATATTTCGTTATTATAGACTTTGTTTAGGATTATCATACAAATGGGTACTTCTCATTTACACTCAAATTTGATGGTCACACAATAATAGTTCATAAACGGTATAAGTTAGAACAATACCTTTGAAATCAGATGATAAAATATCTATTTAGCTACATACAAAATAAATTTTATCGTAATAGAAGCAAAAATAATACGAAAAAATCACATGAAACGATAAAAAACGGGGTCATTTTTCGCGTTCTCATCGTGTCACACCTTCGGTTGCAATTAAACATTTGGTTACTGCATTCACAATTTTCATTCAATTTGTGTGTCACCTTGAAAACTTTTATTTCAGCTGTTTTTAAATTTTTGGCATTAAAACCCATATCATCAGCTAAACTTTTCATAGAGAAAAAATCTTTAAAACTCATTTCATTTACATGGTATGGGTTGCCTTTCTTCTTGTCATTGCGTATTATTTGAGCGTACTGGCTGGGGACATAAATTGGTCCAGATCTGAGGTTCTTCTTTATAGATTGTTCAAGCTGTGCTTCAAATTCCAAAAGGAGATGTTTCTGTCTTCTATTATAAGTCAAAATTAAATAACCTGAATTTTACTATAAGCAAACTGGGATCTGATCACACGGAATGCTATCTATGGCATGAAGGTGAAGCTAATCGAGGAGCAGACGAAATCGGAACTTGCGTACTTAATTTCATCGATAAAATTATGAATGAATACTGTGGTTCAGAGCTTGAATTAACTTTTTTTCGGACAATTGTTGTGGACAAGAAGAGAATAGATTTATTTTTTCTATGTATATTTTCGCTTTGATAAAGTATGCCAATATTAAATCAATAACCCACAAATACCTTATAACAGGCCACACCCAGAATGAAGGGGATTCAGTTCATTCCACCATAGAAAAATCTATAAANCATACATACATACCTCTACAAAATTACCTTCTCAGGACTACGGAACCCTAAAAATGCTATAATTAACAGATTTCAAAAAAGGAGGAGGTTATTTAATTAAATAAATAAAAATTGTGGCTTTCGTAAAAAAAATGACTAGGCAGCATGGTCCCTGACCTTAGCCTGTATGTGTAACACCGAATAAAAAAAAAAAAATTGGCGCTCAATTTTTTTTTGCTATGCTCACAGGCTATGCTAGAAAAATAATTTCACTTGTAAAAACAATTTATTAGATCTCGAATACATTCAAAATGGAATACGAATTTGTAATCAAATGCCCTAACTTTGAAAACGTTGGTTATATTCAAGCGGGGGCAATATTAAATGATAAACATGATCGGTCAGCGCCTTCTGATTATCACTGGAAAATTCTTAAATGCAGGTATGCGCAGGGATAATGTTAAAATTGTACTTGTAGATTATTTTAAATCTAGGTAGATGACCTACCTAAAGGTATACCTAACTGTAATTAGGCTTTAAAGTTTTTACAATATGTGCAATAAAATTAATGTACTTACGTAAGTACTTAATTGAAATCAAAATACTTGGTATTTATATCAGAGGCTCGCGTGGAGGTAGTAAGGCTTGAGTTCAACAAGATCCTAAAGAATACAATAACCTCGGATACATTTCCCTCAGTTTTAAAGACTAATAAAACTAAATTATGTACTTACATTATTGTTATGAAACCAATAAAGTAGTTATTATTCATTAATTATTATACTTTACCTATTTCACGAAGGATGATTTTATTCTCTAATTCGTCCATAATGGCGTGCCCGGATAAATACGATTTGAAGAAAATTCACATCATATTCAACAAAATTGGCGATGATTATGATCAACTCAACAGTCTATTTCAGAAATTTTCATTAAATCAGGTAAATAGCCAGTTTTTTCAATTTTTATATGTTTTCGAGCTTACTCGTGTAGAATTTTCATTTAGCCATTCTGCATTCTCGGCCTTGCGCAACTTTTTATCTACATATTTTAGGAGGGTTCTATAAACCCGGTTACACCAGAGTTGTATGAAATGTGTTTTCAATATACCATGACTGCAAAACTTGCACCAATATGGAATTTGGTTGGAAACGAATATTTTGTCAACAATCGGGATTTCTTGATAGCAAAAGGACCACAAGAAGGTGTTCGATACCATATATCGATAAGAGGTAATTAATTAGAAACACCTAAATAGAAATAAACACGTAATTAGGCAATCAATATAAATGATCGGTGCTTCTTCATCAGAGGCCAATGCACATGAGCTTCTTGTTTTTTATTTACAGACAACGAAACTATTTTAAAACTAAAGCCTGTAAAAATACATTTTATTAAATCAGATAATGATTTTATGCCAGGCGAATGGATCAGAATATTACCAAGGTAAGAATAATGTAGGTATTATTATTATTAGCTTTCAAGAGGAAAGCGTATCTTCACCTTAAAGGCCGGCAACGCACCTGTAACGCCCCTGGGTCTGCGGGTGTCTATGGGCGACGGTAATCACTTACCATCAGGTGATCCGTCTGCTCGTTTGCCTCCTGTCACATAAAAAAAAATATCGAAATGTAAAGGACAGTGCCAGGGTCTGGACCAAGTGCTGCCCAGAATCAAACCATAGTGCATTTTGTTCCTCAGGCCTATACTAATGTGTAAACTGAAGCGCACTGAAATCTATCCCTGGAGTTAAGAGAAAAAAAGAGTTTTGTTTCGAATTATTTACATACAAAATATCATCGATGTATACGTACTACGCATAAGATTTCGCGATTTTGGCATTAAATAACACTCGCTATGTTGAACTTAACCATATTGCATCCGTACACGTTACTTTAATGCGATTTAGACATTCTTTATAAACGATCTAGCGCTGTTTTAATTGTTTGGTAAGTTGATAGAAATTCATTATTTCCAAAAATGAAGCAAGAAGTTTTAGTTCTATATCATTGCAAAAAATCAATTTATTGGTGTATTAAAATCGATTATTGGAGTTATTAAGCTAAAACTTCTTGCTCCATTTTGGAAATAATTAATTTCTGTCAAGTAACCAAACTACTGCAACAGCGCATGATCGCTTATAGAGAATGTCGAAGTCGTACTAAAGTAAGGTGTACGGATGCAGTATGGTTAAGTTCAACATATCGCGTGTTATTTAATGCCACAATCGCGAAATCTTATGCTTAGTACGTATACATCGATGATATTTTGTATGTAAATAATTCAAAACAAAACTCTTTTTTTCTCTTAACTCCAGGGATAGATTTCAGTGCGCTCCGGTTTATAAATTAGTATTGGCCTGAGGAACAAAATGCACTATGGTTTCATTCTGGGCAGCACTTGGTCCAACTTCCATACATGGATTGGCACTGTCCTTTAATTTAGAGTATCTTTTTATTATGTACCTACTAGCGGCCGCCCGCGACTTCATACGCGTGGATTCCGTTTTACCCCCTTGGGGTGGAGTTTCGTAAAATCCTTTCTTAGCGGATGCCTATGTTATAATATCTACCTGCATGCCAAATTTCAGCCCGATCCGTCCAGTGGTTTGGGCTGTGCGTTGATAGATCACTATGTCAGTCAGTCAGTCACCTTTGAGTTATTGAGCCTGTGCGTGCGCGATGGCGATGGGCGATGCATGGCGATCGCCATCATCGCCATCACCATCGTGGACGCCGGCAGCACACGTACAGCCATTTCTACTCGTATTTTATTTGACAACTCTCGTCACTTATAACACTTATTATCAAAGCTACGAGCAGTTTTTTGACCCGTAGTTATAAAAGTAAAACCACCTGGTTAAATTTATCAGCAAAGTGTGCTTTGGTTAGCTTAATTTTTGGTAAAGTACCTACATAATATTAGTTAACAGTTTTTCATTAATGTAGTGTAATTTACTTGTCATAAAATTTTATAATTGGTTGTTTAACTACGGATCAAAAAATAGGTAGGTAGGTATTTAACTAAATAAACAACTTGTTTTTCTTCTAATATACCTAATTTTGTCAATTATTACTAGTCTCAACAAAGCTGTCGTAGAAGAATGCCTCGATGATTTGCCCAAGTCTGGACTTTTTAAGTCCTATAAGGATATACGGCGTCACTGGAAAAATATTGTAAGTACCTTACAATAACGATATCATGTGTACTGTACCTACTTACTAAAAATATAGTTTCTTAAATTTTATTCGTCCTATACAACGTGCTCTTTTTGATTTCCTGGAACTCTAGGGTATTAATAAGACCACTTCAAAGAATGGAATGGCATTAGACTTTTTGTTAAATTAAAAAAAAATCGACTTATTTTTTCATACGAAATTATTTAAAAACTTAATTTTTCACTGAAATAATTCATAATTTACATACACTTATCAATATAAAGTCTGCACAAAAAGAGGTGACAATTTTGAAAAAAAAAAACTAGATTGATGATACTATAATCTAAATCAACTATGTATCTTCTAAATCTAGAATCCACAATAATATCTTCAAAAATATGCTTTTAGAAACACATATTCCTCAGACTCTTTAACTCAGATCTTTAACTAGTTTTTATTTATAGAATAATATAACTACCCCTAAAATTTCCGGAAAACAAAAGGAGCACGTTGTATAGAGTATAATATTTTAATTCATTAATATTATTATTGTGGGATGTGAAAGAGCAGGTACAGCCTGTAATAAGTACCCCTACTACTTCTAAGGCTGCTTTTAGTGTCACGCGGACTGCCAGTGCGGACGTGCGGATCGCTCCGCACAGCCGATTTGTATGAACTGCTAGGGAGCGGAGCGGTTCCTCCGGACCCAAAGTTTACTCTATGTCCGGACCGCATTACTCAGACGCTCCCTAGCTAGAAGTTCATACCAGTGTTGGCACTAATCAATTAATTTTTTAATCAATTAATTAATTTGATTAATTTTAATCATGATTAAATTAATCCTGATTAAAATAATCATGATTAAAAAAGTAATCATAATCATGATTAATTTGTTAATCATTAATCAATAATCATTAATTTGATTAACTTGATTAACTTCTTAAATGTTCTATCGAAAACAATGTTAAAACATTGAATTCTAATATTAGATAATATGTTTGGTTTTAGGCTACAATTCTATGACAGGTCATTACCTAGATAAATATAAGGTAACCTAGACTGCCCCCCGCCCCCTCCCTCGCTGAAACTTCCGGTGCAGTCTTCCGACCTCCCGTAGGAGGATATCAGTCCACTTCCCCTACCGTTCCAGCACTTAATTGCAACCCCACACTCCCACCACCTGCCCTCCACCCCTAGCCTCCCCTGAAACTTCTGGTACGAAGTCTCCTGCACCTCCCCAACACGCAAAACCTCNAATCCATCTACCGAGTGATCATAACATTGTTACGAAGTCAAAAAAAAACTTAAAACCGTTTTTTCTCGAAACACGCTTTTTTATGTTGTGACAGTCTTTTAGAGGACGTGCGAAATATTGTGAATGGTGTTTATGTTTTTACAATATTTTAATAACTAATAAATTATACGTGGTAAAGTAGAGATCAGTACCTACATCAATAAATAAATAAGGGCCTCGTATTTTTGTTGTCTGTCTGTATGTATGTCTGTATATGTGACTGTGTATCTGTTTGTAAGATAAATTTAATCTGAAGTTTGAGTTAAAAGTTGTACAACAAAAATACGAGGCCCTCTGGCCTAAATAAAAAATATTTTTTGTTGAGGGACTGATAACAACTGTCTACAGTATTTTTGCGCACGGGTTATGCATAGCTTATTTTTATTGCTTTATAACCTAGAAACAAGAATAACAACAAAAAATTGTTCTGAATTTGTTTTTATGTGTAAAAAATAGAATAATTCATATCAATTAATGTATGAAACATGAACATAGAGACGATTTAATTTGTTGCGAATTTTTTTTTTCTTTCTTTCATTCTTTCTAATTATAATTAAAATATACCAAACATCCATTTAAGATTCATTCTCACAAGAGAAAATTTAAATTAGAATCCAAATATTTATTGAAAATGAAAAGTTCTAATTTCCTGTCGTGTTCCATAGAAGATTTTTGTAATAAAAATCTAACCCTATCATGCTTTCAGTATACTGACCTTGGTAACGTCGTCCCTCAAATCCCACTATAAATTGATGAATGCGTGCCCCTTGTTCTTGCAAATAAGCCCCATAATAAATTTGTTGACCGGTGTAATCAGTTAGAGTTATTTTTTCCTACTGATAATCCGTTTTTTGCTTCTTTAGCATTTCAGAATGCCACCAGTGTAACCCTTAAAACCAATTGCGTAGAATCTTGTAACTTAGTAGGTGACCTAATCGGTAAAATTTTATCTTGTATTTAAGTAGGTACCTATTTATATTATGTTATTGCTATTTATCTATGAAAATAAGACAAAATATAATATGTTTTATAAATACTTAAGAGTCATTTACAGTAATAAAGTTTGAAAAAATTATTGCTGTGAAATACAGAATCACTTTCGTGGCATCAAAAAATTCAAAACGTTAAATCTTCCAAACGAGACTCACTATTTGACTGATTTACTGAGAATACAATCTTCACATCAAGCGCTACAATTTTTGTTTACAAAAAGTTGAAATAAGTTAGAAATAAAATTCGCCACGAAGGTGACGATGAGAACCGTGGCGATGAGAAATACCCAAATACTAATAGGTACGTTATAAGTGGATTTTATTTGGACATGGATGACGCAGACTTTACAACAATATACAGTGAATTCATAATAGTATACATAGATTTATATCTATCTATGCTATTAAGGCGATTAGTGTCCTCAATCCGCGTCAAATGGGCATTTTGTAAAGCCTACTCCTCTATTACTGCTGGACAGAAATAGTTGAAAAAAATATATGTTGTACAACAGTTCAAGGACTACATTTGTGACGTTTGAATTTTCGCTACGTCTCTTTGTTTTGGATTAAAAAAATAAATACGGGACATCGATTTTTTACTTTAATTCCCTACTCCTCCAAAACGGCTATGTTAATTTAAAAGATTTTTGCACGAATAGATTAGGAATTCTTTAATCTTTAAATGACACGTTGCGTTTTTCAATCGAACATTACTTTCATTCATAAATTTTACTTTTGATAAATTCCGAACGTTTTGCTGTTGAGGGGGCCTTCGCGGGGTGCGGGCGGCAGTCGGCCGCTGGCCTTCAGACGGGGAGGTTGTGTCACTCGCTGCAAACTGACATTAGCGATCAAAATGATTTTTTTCTTTGGCTGAGTTGCACCACCTGACGTGACCTAACTTTGACCGTAGCTTTGGCGATAACCGGTGTTTTTTTGTATGGAGTTTGACAGATTTTTGACTTTTGTCAAATTTAAAATAAGATGGTGCAACCTAAATATATTGACTTGGCCATCGCATGTAACTTAAACACGTGTAAATTAAATTATTTAGTGCGATGGCCAAGTCAATAATTTATGTAAAACGTTAAAGATTTCCTGGCCTGGACTTGGTATTACATGGATCTCACAACTTTTTACCGTAGAACAACTGAGTTGCGAGACTTGGTTTTTTTGACAAGTATTGTTTTTGATGGGATATATATAAAAGAAAGTCGTGTTAGTTACTCCACTTATAACTCAAGAACGGCTGAACCGATTTAGCTGAAAATTGTCAGGGAGGTAGTTTAGAGCCAGGAGAAGGACATAGGATACTTTTTATCCCGTTAAAAATTAAAAAAAAGGCTGCTTATTTATTGCCATTATGGCGGAACAAAGTTCGCAGGGTCAGCTAGTAACTCATAAAAGAGGTGAAAATTGACATGGGGAACCCATCATTTTCATATAGGGCTATAAAAATAATACTATGATGACAATGGGGATGTTGCCTGGGTCAAAAAGCAAGAGTTTTAATTAGTCCGTCAGTTAACTTATCAAAAAATACTCTACACGTATTTTTCACTTTTTCAAACTAATGAAAATTTAAAGAGATAAAGCGCCCCAAAGTTCATAAGAAGAGGCCCGTGACGTCAACGCTTGCTTAAAAATGCCGCACGTTGTGACGTCGTGCGCAACTTCAACGCACCATAACTATGTAATTATTTGTTAGATTGACAAATAAAAATATATGTGTCCAATATTTTTTGATATTAAACATTACGGACTAAAAAATTTTTTTTAGGCAACTAGCCTATTTGGGTGACAGATATATAAAATGGTGCGGGACAAAAATACTGAGGTATAGTTTTGGAAGGCAGTTGAATATTATTCTTCCCTACTTAAATTAATAAGCCCTGGATAGATAGTATTCCTACAAGCTCTTCGTCTGAAATGAGGCAAAATCTTATGTCACTGTCATTACGTGGAGTCATTACGTCAGTAGGTACATTAAGGGCGAATTTTTGTACTTGATGTGACGTGTCAAGTGAGCCAGCCATGGTCCACTCAAGTCCCTCACCTTACTTTTTTTGCTCGTACTATCTATCTAGGCTTTATAAATTATGCTTCCTTAGTTTTCTTCAGTCTATTTATAAGACTTAATGTCAGCCACCCTGGATACTTCCATAGACAAACGTCACATACCCAAAAGACAGATAATAAAACCGGCGGGAAATTCAAATTAACTTTTTAATCAAAGGCGTAGCAACTATACGGCCTCGCGTACAATTGCCGTGTGAGAGTTATTATGCCTACGGGGAGTCGTCAATTAAAAGGTATCTTACTTTAGGTACCATTACTAACATTATAGACTCGATTTAGCGAGTTGCTACCATCTAAAGTTCGTTAGGAGCGGGAATTATTAAGTCCTAAGTGAAAATGTCTATGGATATTTAAATTATGTAGTAAGCAATTAGTTTTTATTAGTCTGTAATAGCAAATACTTAAGGTATTTAAAACGTTTAGTCTGAGTTGCACCACCTAACTTTAACGGTAAGTATGTATAACGATAAGTGCTTTTTGTATGGAGTTAAAGTAAGATGGTGCAACCCAGCCTTAATTATTTAATTATGAGTGTTATTAGCACGTCACTACCTTGTTTAATATACCACGCAATCTTGTATACCCATTCTTATAAGATACACCATACAAGAATGCATGGTAAATTCAGTGAACTGCTCCTGAATCGAATGTACCTACTACTACTATTTCTATTTATTTATA